TCCTTCATTCATAGCTTGATCACGGAAGGATCTCACAGCATGTTTAATATTACCGATCCTAGCCGAAGATGATGCGCCAGCGTCACGAAGTAACAGACTCTTCGTTATGGGCATTTTTGATGCTTGAAGTTTGACAAACTCAACGAACTTTTTGTTCGACACATAAAAATCTGAAAGAATATCGATTGGTATGACCGTAAACTTCGTGTTTGTCTGTACTAATGGCGTTCGTTCAAAAACGTATAGATTAGATAAATCGCCTCGCAGTCCACCAGTTTCATCTACTGTAGTAGCATCTCGACCAACGTTACCATCAAGTGATGATACCGCATTCCAATACCTCTCTTGTTGTTGGTATACCATTCTAGCAAACGATTGCAGTCCTTGTACTATGCCTCTGGCCATTGAGGTACCGATATTACCATCAGCCATTGGTTGATCCTGCTGTCGATAGACATTCATCGGTCTGTAGTTCATGTTTCCATTATACGGTGGCATTTGCTCATGTGCATGAAACCCAGCCATACCTCCCGGTTGATACACATTTGGCGGGTATACTGGTGGTTGTTGGTACGCGTATCCAGGATACATTGGAATAGGTGGTGGTCCATACGGCATATAATTATAAGTGGTAGGACCAGGAACCGGTAATGGTGGCGGATACTGATAATGATTCTGACCATCGTATCCTAAACCCTCAGAAGCATGAAAATTCACGCGTCCGTCGACATTCACTGGAAACGCGCTAACATATTCATGTGCATTAACATGTGGTTGGCCCGTTACATGAAAGTCCACATCAAAATCGACTCGTGATGGTACAACTGGATTTAATCCACCATTGTTGTATAATCGCGCAGTGTTCAGATTATTACCTTGCGATGCATAGTATGGCCTTCCATATTGGTTATAGGCGCAGTTGATATTTGTCATGAGAAGACAGACACAAATAATAATTTGGTTGGTAGCAAAAGACATGGTTGCTGTTTTCTATCTCTTTATATACAGTTAGTACTACCATATATGGTATATACACATAATGAGGTGTCATCCTTGGATATCCCAATCAGTAACTTTTTCTTATTCTATCATACATTATCGAAAAACATTTAACCAGAATTTATTTCTTCATTTTATGTCTTGTGTACACGAAATTGTGCTTTGGATGAAAAATTATGTTGAATGCGTGTGTTTTAATTCTGAAACAAACAAAGACCGATGATAAACCGAATTTCTTTATTCAATCCTGGGCTTTCACGAATTTGGCGTTTTACATGGACATGATACCCTGATTGGGTATTCATTAATTTTGTAACCACATAATATTTTCTTTATTTTTACGTCTTATCTTATATTTAGCATTTAGTTGCTTTCGTTTTCACTGTTGCACCCAAAATATTATACACCATCCTTGCTGCACATAGATGATCGAACCATATCTGGTAAATGAAAAATTTTGAAATGTCCACAAATATCGCTCCATGCAACTCGATTATAGAACAGGCATATCCATAAAAAGATAGCAAAGTGCTATTAGGAAAAGTGAATTAAAAATATTTTATTCAGTACTATATGATCCATTGTATTTTCTGGTGTATAAATGGCTTAGTTCTAATAAATATAGCACTAGCAGTTTAAACAAAATGAACAGCATAAAGTTTACATTCTTGGCAGGATTTGTCTTGTAGACTAGACGCTCTTGTCGCATCTCTAGAAGAACATTTGAAGTATAGACTCATATCGATTAGTATCAATTTTATTGAACCACAATTATCTAAAATTGCAGATAATTATACATACTACTTTTGAAATGGATGAATTGTAGCGATTACCTATCGAGTAACCGTGTATCTATTTCGTCACACAATCTTTTTTTGTAATTTACCAAATTAGATATTTCTGTGTAATCTCATATCCAAGAGATTTGTGCTATTTTTTAGACTTTGAGGTATTCAATTGCATTTAAATATGCATCAATGAAATACACAAATGCACTTTTTCATGTAATGATGACAAATCTAAGAAATGCTTTATAAGGTACTTTTCAAAGAAATGCATAAAAAATCGCAATGACAACAGCTTATTTACTATGATATATAAAAATATTGAAGTTATAATTATTTTAAAATTTTTTTATTTGCAAATCGTCCAATTTTACCGTTTTCTTAGCCATATTCTACCTTATTTTTGCGTACGCATTTTTCTATTATGAGAAGATCCATGACATAGACAAGCAACATTTTTGTAGACACTTCTATTTCGAGATCTCTGATATTACTTTTTTGATAACATCATTTCTTGGTTTGCTAGAAATCGAACTATAGAATTTATTTTCTGCTACACGTAAATGGACAAGTATACTCATCATTAATGCTATGCACATAGTATTATAAATTCCCATTATGATTCCTTATCTCTTACGAATAATAGTTGCTGCTATTTTACCGCACTTGTAAATTAATATTCTGCGTTATCAACACCAAATACTATGAATAATGTACTAAACTCGTGTACATTGTTCATGTATTAATTGCTTAGAGGAGCTTTTTATGTGAGTATGTTTTAAACATCCTCTACAACTGAGGTATTCTTGTATAAGTTACCAACCGGTATTTCCGTTTGAAAAAAAAATAAGATCGGCTTACCCGTTAAAAGGCACTTTTTTCCTTCAATATGTCATGCTATTGTTTCCCAACTACTTCCACTTATTTATAATTCTTTTATAGTGGTTGATAGATTAATTTTTGCTTAGCAATCATGTAATTTTGGTGCTTATTGCAGGGAACGACGGAACAAGGCCGGGAAAAATGAATCAGGTAACAACTTCTGACTCTTTATTCAGTGCAAATAGTTGAAATTAAAACTTGTTTGTTCCTAGAAGGGATAAATATTTTTTCTCACGAACTAATCAATCAGCTTTCGAGTTGCCATATATTTATATGAGGTGATGATGAGTTTGCATACAACTTTGGCTACGTCTTACGCTTCTATATCACAAACAACACATTAAAAGATTTGTCTCTCATATGCAAATGTTAAATAATATCACTATCGACATTTTTTGCTACTCATTTCCTTTTAATACCTTTTATCCAACCGGCCAATTAAATTACTCATATTGTTTCCGTAAAGGAACATGTTCCACTCATGCCACGGAAGTCTGCTTAAAAAATCATCATTGACAATTTTCACGCGTATGCTCCTACCAAAAGCTGACCAACAAATTTTGTTGGTTCTAGGCAATTCTGTCGTGGGCAAAACATTTTTCTGATCTTGATTTCGTACGTTTAACCGAATACTCATCGCTAATTACTTTGTCATATGTTATCTCATCATTTTATTTTATCGTTCAAAAATTTTTGATACCACAACATCTTTTGAGCTCTGCCGTGGGAGTGCAACTAACTCATTCACCTTCATTACACATCAAAAAAACAATGCACCATGAAATATTACAAAGATGAGCGCTGATACATCACGCTTCATCATTCGTTGATCAAATTGAAAACGACCACGTATTTTTAAAATAAACAATCCCTTAAGATTAACGAAATGACCAAAACCGCCGAAAAATCAATGGAACAGGAAAAAAATACGACAGAGAATACGCTTAAGAAACAAGAAGAATCCGATGAAGGGAGTCATGTGGCTCACAGAAGCGATTCGGATGATGGGAATACCATAGTTTTAACTAGTCGGCCGATAAATATGACGCGAAGGACTATGTTGTCTATTGGACCGGGTGGTATTCCCATAATAAGAGACATTATCATCATTGAGACAGAGGCCTCGCTCTCCCGCTTACTCTATGTTCTAGGGCTACTATTCGTATATTGTGTGATATTACAGGGCATTTTGCTCCTTTGGGAGCGTTACTATCCGAAGAGCTGCAAGTTAACGGTTGGCCTCGTTCTATGGTTCTTTCCGTTTTTTTACGCTATATTCAAAAAAAAGTTCGTTTTTGTGGCATTATGGATTGTTTACAATCTGTGTCTTTTCGTCCTTTTTAGAAAAGTGTTTTTCAGGCCTATTGATCGCAATGCGCCCAGGAGAATTTACTCGTTTTTCAATCGTTTCTTTCAAATATGTCACTTCACTGTGATTATGTGTATTGTGGGCATGGCCGCCTCGATTATTGTGAGGCGATCGTGGTTGCTTAATATTTTTTTGCTGATTTTTATTTATATCCTGTACTATGCAGTGCTCTCACAAGAAATAATTATGTTCAATTCTGAATTGATGGCCCTAAACGTGGGTTACTACTCCAAAGATGCCGTTCCCGCCAAAATACTCACGGACCATACATGCTGTGCACTGTGTGATCAGAAGATAGATTCACAGTCTGTTACACTCAATTGCACGCATAAGTACCATTCAACATGTATCAAAGGATGGTTTCTCATATCAAAGAAGGAGTTCTGTCCGCTTTGCAAAGAGAAGATGGGTGTTGAGAAGCTCATGGACGGATTCGTGAAAGGTGAAATGTATTTCACGGTGTTTATGGACATTTTGAGACGCGGAATAATTTTCTGTCTGATGTTTGTGCTAGTGGTGTTGTATGGTAGACTATGATTAGGGATTAAAACGTTGCTAGTTGATACCTGTGAATTTTCATTAAATATTTCTAATCACGCAAATTTGAGATTTGTTACAGATCTCCTCTTTCGATACAAATGTAATATCAATTCGTGTTTTCCCTTTGAAAACACTTGAGCTGCACCATACCTGCATGGTTTTTCAAGATGTTCCGCTGTGAATGGCCTAAAACTTTCGTTTGTTTTTAGTTGTACAGCCGATTATGGTATTATTGTGCAATTAGCACATTTCTTACATTTTCTCATTTGTAATTTACGTAAATATTAAAATTAAGATTAAACTAAGCAAACAATCAAAGAATAATTATGAAAAGATAAACGCTGCTGTTGTTATTACACCTTGTATATGATTAAATGGGTGCAGATTGGCTTACTGAACTGGTGTAACGATGGAATAACGATCAGTAATTGGGTACTAGTACACTTCACATATCAATGTGGAATGAAAGTTGCTTAGGCAAAAAACAGGACGAGCATCAATATTCAAGAAACACATAAAATAAGCATTTTTAAAACGGGGAAACTCCGGTATTCAGACAGTAAATGAATTCAAACAGTTGCTGCAATATAAGCAAACTTTGCACAGAAACTAGAGGTCATCAATTATGGTCATTTAAAACGAGTAAACGCCAAATAAAAGATCTTTTAGTGTATCTGACTCCCATAGCACTTCAGCAATTGAATCCTAAACGAATCCACGATGCAGTATCCAAAAAGGACATAATAATACGAGGCAAAAGCTGTTCGCTCCCTATGGTACGAAAGAAATAGCAGGTACTAATCTGCCAAAACTAGGAAACAATATCTATGAATTAGTTCGATAAACATATTTCACATCCGACATTTCAAGTAAAAGTTCTTACAACCAGAAAGTAACCAAAGTTGCTTCAATTTTTGGATAAAATCCTACTAAACAAAGTATCCAAAAGTTTAACTGCACATTAAAATGATAAGACATATCATAATATTTATTTTACAAATGATACCGTATTTAACCGTGATAGCATTGTTGATCCTTCATCTTATACGTAATGTATGTCATGGCAATTAATATTAAAAGCGTATTTCGCATTCGTTTTGTCTTTTGGAATGTCGTTCAGGAAAGCGCCAACGTTTTGTCACACAAATCGGAATAAAATTTTTGGCATTTTGAAGAGCATACAGATTGTTTTGCTGATGAGGCTACCGCTGAAATATCGAAGATAACAGTCCAACACAACGAGTCCTGCTCACAAAAATGTACATTAACGAATGTTGTGGGTTCTTCTGTACGTTAGTAAAGCCATTTCAATTACTCTCACACTTCTTGTGCACTCATTTCTGAATTGTTACATGATCACCATATTATCGTATTATATTCATATTTCTGTAAGTACTGGTTTATTTACTACACCACGCGTATCTGTTCCTCTCTTTTCTGCTAAAATATTAAATTTATCTCCTAATACGACAAAACTTTTGCTCATTCACATTGTAATCGCAAAACCCCTCCAACAATGAAAAGAATCGAGGATGTGAACATCACACGTTCAATAATAATCGGAACATCTGCCTCTTTAATAAAGAATCCTACAACGGACAACACGCATACCTGGAAATTCTACGTTAAATCACCAACCAACACACCGATGAACTACATTTCTAAAGCGGTGCTCACACTCCATGAAACGTTCAAAGACCCGGTACGCACAATAACACATCCCTTCGTGCTTGAGGAGAAGGGTTGGGGCGAGTTCAACATCAATGTTAAGCTGTTCTTTAACGATTTGAACGAAAAATTCATTACATTATCTCATTTTTTGAAATTGTACGGGGAGAACAACGAGGAGGTGGTAGTCAATGAAAAGAGGGAGACCATTGTTTTTCGGTCACCTAGCAAGCGGTTATATGACATGTTAGATGATGAAGAGGCGTGTGATGATGGAAGTGACGAGGAAAAAATAGAGAATGCCTTGAAGTATGTACTGAAGAAATATGAAGAGCTGCCATAGAAGAGCCCGTGGAAGAATCGCTGCAATGGATTGGCCAGATGAAAATGGGTAAATTTAGAGCAGTTCTGGTAGTACCTTACATCCGTGACTTGATAAGAAGGAGAACAGTGCAAAATCGGTATAGCACGGCGTAAAATAATAACATTGGCACGATGATAAGATCGGAATAAATCGTAAATGTGAATAAATGTTTGAAAAGAATGTCTGAGTAAAGCACATTTGTTTAATATTTTTCTTACGGCACAGTAGCGCTTGCCTTAACTTCAGAAAACAGTTTTGTCAGCAGTTTATTGAACTATAGCCAGGTAGAACGAAGTATGTATGGGGTGACAAACCTCGTTGTGGTTGAGAGTTGAATTTTAAAGAATGTGCAGATAATTCGGAAAATATTGAAAGATTGGTCAAACAGGACGAACATATCCTGTACACGTGGCAAATGATACTTTTGGAACAATTATTGATGCTCACGAACAGATATGGCCAGGTACATAATTGCCAATGATCGTGGGTAACAGCAGTCACGTAAGCACAGAAATAACCTGAACGTAAATTATTTATTTTTATTGCGATGAGAAGTCCTGGGATCTGTTCGAATTACCAGTGTCTTTGCTGTGAAACTACAACAAATATTTTTTCCTCATTCATCACCGGTGTATGTAATTGAATGCCCTGTAACATTCCCATCGGTATCCTGGCACTAAAACTCATGGTTGCACTGGAATAGGTGACAGGCCTTCGTAAAGTCAGAAATGCTAAAGTGTCACAGTCATATATACGCAGTGTGCTGAAATACTTCACTAAACCACCAAAAGTATTTCAAGCAACGGGTACACTGTGCTTAACACGTATGTGCAAGGGAATGATTTGGAACGTAATGTGTTGATGTGTGATTTTGAGCCTTCTTACATTCACAGGTTGTGCAATTAATTTCGTAATTCAATTGGAGCTACAGGAACATCTGATGAATGCATCTCAGCGTTTCTCGGTGTTGCCGTGTAAGAAGGTAGGTAACAGTACTTTTAGTTAGAATAAACTAAATTACCACGTTGCATTTTATTATCTGTAAGAGTATCACGCTGCTATATGCATATTATTTGGGAATGTTTAATTATTGAAGTTCACTTTTTAGCTGTAGGGTAGCAAGTGCTTTTTCTCCCTACTATGCCCACGATTTACTGAAGTGTTCCGGCCATTTACATGGTCCGCCTAGAACAAAAATAACTAAATATGAATAAATACCGTTCAATCCTGTGCACAGGGAACTCACCGTGTCATAATACTTTGTTAATTTATTTATAACGACTACACACAGCACCAGCACAAGTATTCAAACATCAATCGGATAAACGTCTTATCCTTCTTCATCTTGTGGTCAATCGCTTTCTCGAACAGCAAATACAGGTTACGTCTCTCCAGTGCGCTTGTCTCCACGAAATCAACAAAATTATGTTCTTTCGCCATCTTCTTTCCCATTTCAGTCGTGACAATGTCTTGTTGCGTGTAATCATCGCGCACATCATACTTGGTTGCAACCAGAATAGCAGGTATTTCAAGCTCTTTAATCTCGTTTAGCCAGTGCTTCACGTTGTTGAACGATGCTACGTTGTTAATTGCATAACATATAAAAAACATGTCGGTGTTTGGATACGAGAGCTGCCTGATTCTGTCATACTTGAGTTCGCCGGCCGTGTCCCACAATGAGAGATCGACGTTCTGGCCCTTTAGGTCGATGTTACACGTAAACGAATCAAAAATAGTGGGCATTTGATCGTTTGGATTCTCTCCGGTAATAAATGTCGTGATAATCCATGTCTTTCCAACTTCAGAATCGCCGAGGAATACGCATTTGAGTTTCATTACGGATAAAGTGATTTTTTGTTTTGTTGCTTGCTCCTTTTTTGTATGAAATGAAACGATCAGTTTATTGGTGCGCTGTGAAAGATAAGAGTCCATTGGTGGCGAAAAATGACGAATCATGTTTGCACTGTTGACAATTTTTATTCGTGATTGCACGATCAGCAGCGATTGTAGTCGGGCAAAAGAAGTAATAAGTGCCTATAGAATGTTCATTTTCGGTGGTTGGTATCGGAAGAAACTGCGCCAATGATTTGTTTGAGGGAATAAACAAAGAAGAGAGTGCATCATGTTTTGATGGTGTAGCAATAGAAATAATGATTATACATTGAACGGGAATATGAGTATTAAACTGTGTTATTTTAACGTTAGCATAGTCATATTAGTGCATCCTACGCCCTGCAATGTTTGGCATCATAATTGAGACTGTCACAGCGCGTAAACACCGGAAGAACTCCCGTCTCTTACAAAGATGCTGAGATAAATAAACTTAGTTTTAGTGGAAAAATATGATTAGACTAGGCTAAAGAACCTTAGAAAACACAAAAGAATGATTTATTGCCCTACGGAAACAGCTGAAAAGGGGATGTCTAACAAATTGCCATCTCAGACCTCAAGTTGCAGAAATACATCTGAAGATTGAACTCTTTATACTTTTAAAGTATTATCGCACTTCGTAGCCGCTACTTCATTGCAAAACTACAGGTGAGCGCAGTAGCCCATCTCACGTAGTAGGACTAAACCTACTTACCATATAATTGCGCTTTAATTCATTTTACCTATCTCACAGAAGAACTTGTTTATCCAATAGCTTCTAAGAAAAGACAGCAAGAAAATTTGGCACCAGAAGATGAAACCGTTCATCATAGCTATGCATTATATTGTCATAGTTAATCTTACGCAATTATTTTTACGATAAATGTGTTTATTTATCTCTTCATGAAACAACAGTGTAACACAGAATGCGATAAATTACACGCCAGATACAAATCATTAAAAGAAATGAACGGCAATTGATTGCAAAATGTACGGCAGTTGGTTATTCACAAAAGAATTATGAAGAGAGCAGGCCGTTCGGTAGGTGAGGCTGTTTTATTGCAGGATGTCAATGGATGGGCACATTAATGATATGCACAGCAGATGATGATTATCTAATGAAGATCGTTGAATGGATTCAAAAGGATAGTTATTTAACGATTAACCAGCCAAAACTATCAGACAAATGAAAAAAGCGCTGTTACTAAAAGGAAGAACGAGTTACGCATCATTGAAACAAAGAAATATACATCTCCCTGGTACAGAGGTTTTCAACTCGATCGGGTTTTTTCTTTCCCGGCATACACTGAGTTAATTTATCCACCGAGGTATTAATCGCTGTGACGGCTCGTTGCTCGGACAGGAAAATTATGGTCAAATTTAATGAATGCAATTTCTTGCATATTTTATAACACGCGCAACAGTGTACACTACAATATTAAAAAAATAAGTGATTAGGAACACCACACATGATCAATTATGATTTAGCATCCTATAAAAATTACAATACAATAACGCGTGTTCCCTACCGACAAATGGCATTTGCGTGTACTAGTATGTTTAATTAGCCCTTGGCGAGGATAACTAGACGATACACGAGCAACACTCATTCTAGTTCTTGGTCTGCTATCCTGAAAGAGTACTACTCGTGTTTATTCTTCATCTAAATACTCATCAACAAACTCTAATGAATTTTTTAATTCCAAAATCTCCTTAGCACTGAGCTGATTGTAAAGATGTGGCGTATGCAGAATTATCGCTATTTTATTGTTCCTTAATTTTGTTTGGAGTACGTTATGGCGGGTCAAATTTTCATCCGTCAGTCTGTCCATTATAGGGGCCTTATCGGAAAAGCGGAATAAACCGCTTCTACGGGTTGATTTTATGATAAAGAATGGCATCAAACTCTTCACCGCGAGTTACGCGTGTGGCTGCTCGTAAGTATTGTTTTGTTTTCAGTGGTCAACATTTTTGCAAATTTTGACTGAACAGCACAACAACACGATTCAATCACACATAAACTGGAAAAGCGCAGAATGCTAAGGCATTTCTGCAGTCGCACTTCCGTCACCGTGACAAAGTATCCATCGTTGAATCAAGCATGTTATACAGTGCTATTTTCAGCACTTGCTTTCATTTTGCCATGATATGTTACTCATCTGTTTGAGAGTACTTATTTATCTCCTCGTACAGCAATATACGTAATACATTACAATAACTCATGGTTCGCTGTACAATAGATATCAAAGGATTTCAAGTTCTTTGACTTTCAGTGCATCTGCAGGGAAATTCTGGCAGTAAATGGAATAGTTGAGTATGCTATGCAAGCCTTGATTGCTCGAAGTATTTGTTTTTAATGCTGCTGTAGTATCCTCCCATCCTCTATGCCGGGTTATATACCCTTTTTCGTATGCCACTCATATTTTGCACCTAAACACATCCTATGGTTACGAGACGAGTCTCATAAAAACTTATAAAATTTTTTTACGGAAATTTTTGGTTGATTGAAAAATCTTTAAGTACCTGTATGTGAGGGATATCGTTAAATTTTGGATTCGATTCAGAAGCGCTATTAAAAATTTTTTTATTCCTTAGAAAGATCAATAGTTTATTTTTATCAAACCAGCTGCTCAACAATAGCTTCGAGTCTATGTTGCGATTACAACGAGAGCAAAGTGTTTTAATGTTTTTGGGCTTCTTAGCACTTTCATAATAAAAACAAAAATGGTGATAGCTGCGAAGCACGGATCCAGTGAGATCACTGAGCATTCATTTGATTTTATGAGAGAATGGTATGCACAAAGGATCTTAGCGCGGTTGTGGATTGATTCATATTATCGTTTCCAGGATGATTGTTTTGCTTTAACTCCAGATTAAACATGTGGAAAACATACTTTTACTGTTAATTACAACAAATCGAAACCTACTATGCCACCAAATTTATTCACCATATTTCTATTCTTGTACTTGTTCTAATTCCTAGAGTCAAAACGCATTGACTTCAGTGACAAATACTTTGTTCAAATACGTACCAGATTTAATCATGAAGGTGTTCTCAATTGATGCATTCCATACGATACAAGTTACATATTTGCCCGATCCACGTCACTTTGCAATGTAAGTGATGGTATTTCGCAAATTTTTTAGTGAAGAATCTAGACTATCTATATACGTGTATTAATTAAATATACGTGAGAAATTAACCAAAAAGTAAAAATTTAGAGATAGGCATTTTAGGGTATAATTCACGTAAAATTCTGCAGCCTTTGCCATGAGGAAACCTGAAACTAAACGAATTACTTTATTCACAATAACTAACAATTATATGCATACAGGTACCAAAATACGATCATCCGGATTTGAGCGTGATCCAGGCACAAACTGTCTTAAAACCATTTTTACGCTTGCTATTATAGTTTCAATATCTTTTTTGCCGCTCTATATTGCTATTTCATTCTGGAGCACGTTTGAGTATAATCATAAATTAGTTAGTTCAAAAAATATAAATTAGACCTGCAACCATGATATCCAGCAGGTGAAAATACTTTGTTACAAACCAGTAGGAATATATGATGTCAATACACGTCTATTTACTCCATTTTTATAGGTTATTTACGGTTATACTTGCCCCGTAGTTGAAATTAAAATACCTATCATTTATTCCTTTTACAGACTTTCATTGATAATTAGAGGATATTACGTGTAAATTAATCATATTACATGCAGCCACGCAATCTGCTAAAAATAGAAAAGCTCGAATTCAAAGAATATAGCGGTAAGATGATGTCACATCCAGATAATATTTCACCGAATGACATTTCGTCAATACGCAGGAAGGAAAGCACGCAGAAGATAGCATATGATGACACGAGCAGAATTAGCTTTGTGGGTGCTACTCCGCACAGGACGGACGTAGTGCATGATGGTGTGCCGAGCAACTACAACATGGACATTTTCTATATGAAGAGCATCTGGAAGAAAGAGAGGAACCGATTGGCAGCAAAGAAAAGCAGGGAGAAGAAGGCCAAACTGATGAAGGAGTACGAGATCAACGAGAAGAAAAATATTCAGGAGATTATGTTGCTTAAGCAGGCCATATATGACTATGACAACATCTTGAAGGAGTTCTTTATTTATATAGAGAACGTGCTGAACGAGAGTAACGTGCAGGGTGACAATCTGGTGGCACTATTCGACTTTCTGTGCAGGTTGAAAAAGCCAGGAAAGGATTATTACATTGAAAATGTCAACAGCTGCATGGAGAGATCGCTAGTGGTGACCAATAACCAAATTTATACGTTAGCAATCAAAATACGTAATAGATTGAACGAGATGTGGAATCAGAGACGACGAGGGTAGGTCAAGTAAAAACTATGAGTGTAAAATGAACAAACATTTTTATGCGTATAAAGCGCGGTATAAGTGTCATTCCTTTGTTTTTCTACGTGTATGAGCACATTTCGATGTCACCACGGGTAAAAGTGTCAGCCAAGTCATATATTTTAGGTACCATTCATGATCAGGTATGAGAGAAGTAACGTGATGCTGCAAAGATTTGTACTGTGTATATTTCCCATCCCTGAATTATCTCGGCCGTATTTTTTCTTCATCCACAACATCAGCCGTTCATAAAACCTTTTAGAATAGATAAATTGCTCTTATCGTGATACAAATCCCTTGTCACCAGCTGATTATTTCATGTAAACAGAAGAATAGGCCTAAAATGTCTTTTTCTCGTTGAGTGCACGCTTAGTTATAAGCCTAACTTGCCCACATGCAAAGTTTTATCGTAAGTAAAAGTACGTTCCTCACAGCATATCTTCTTACTCAAACATCGTAAGTACACCGTGGTAATACCCCGTCGTTCAACATCACTTCCTTGATAATTCCGTGCCCTGATAACGGGTGCCATCACACGAAACTGCGAAGAAGCAGTCCACAATTCGATCAACGCTATCACCAGGTCCTTTAATATGATAACTAAGGTTTGCAGTATCGCACTATGGTGCATATCCAGAAATTTGTCTTTTCAGTTTAGAACACTGCTCAGCAATCTCATCGCAACGTGTGAGTATTTTAAAGCGAAGTAATCCACGGCAAAGCATCCGAAAGACGCAAAATGATGCGATAATGTGCAACTGAAGCGGTAAATTATTTATTATCGGTATTTTGGTTTATTTGAGGCTAGGATTCACAGTAGTGGATCTTTTCACGTTAGAACACTTTGAATCACGGGGAATTGCATGTTGTTGATGTGTAAGAAGATAAATAAACGTACATATGGACAGAGAGTGTTCTATTCCATGGTGTTTATGATCATAAGCTAAAAATGTTACTCTGCTGCTACTTTTTTATCCAAAGCACCGCTTCACGGTAAAAACTGCCATTTTTCGTGTATTCAAGGAAATCGCACCATACCACGTGTTAAAATGGCTTATCAGCCGTTTTATCACGTGATAAATGCACCTCCTAGACTTACACCGTTTTACTTATCTAACATGTATGACACGAACGAACAACCGATGAACACATCATAAAAACGTACAGGTATGTATGAGCGCATGCATGCGCTCATATGCCCGTTCTCTCAATTTCTATCGTTGCAGCCAGGGCTATCAACCCGTCTGCCCTTGTTTTAACTGTCAGCAATCAAAATCCGCTACTCCAAGAATAAACGTCAAAATATCGCAGCCCGTCCAGCCTATCGATGATTCTCTTTTTTTTTTTTAAAACACCCTTTGATGAACGAAGAAGAAATCAACGCCATAATAAACACACGAATAGGTGAGCTGCCGGAGAAGGAGCGTGAGACTGCGCGCTACGACATTCTGTACCTGTACAACCGTGCGATCAACAAGCAGGAGAAGGACGACTCGCATACTAATGAAGGCGGCACGCTGCGCAGTGTCTTGGTGGACATAAGCAAGCGTTTGGTAGACTTCAGGCTGAACGATTTGCGTGCTGTCGAGGACGTAGGCGCACCACGGGCCACCGACGAACAGATAAGCATGGCAAAGCGCAAGACCATTATTGGCGAGCGTGTGGGCAAGAACAAGCGGTTCCCAAAGACCGATGAGGAGCGCAGGATGCTCAACCAGATCTTCAAGAACACATTTTTATTTTCATTCCTGAATTTGCGCCAACGGCGCAATTTCGTGGCGTGCATGCAGCCGTTCGATACGTACAAAGACGATGTGCTGATACGTGTTGGAGACAACGGTGACCGGCTGTACTTTCTTGAGCGCGGTAAGTTCAGCGTGCTCAACAGCGACGGGGAAAAGGAGCTGCCGCTGCACAGCGTGATCGGCGAGATTGCGCTTCTTCACAACGTGCCGCGTACCGCCACCGTAATATCACGTGCTGATGGGCGTGTCTGGTACTTGGAGAGGGAGTGCTACAACACCATACGTATGTTTGACCAGGAAAATAAATGGAACATTTTTGTGAAGCGCATGAAGCGCCTGAACAGGAATGTGAGCGAACTTGCAGCGATTGCAACCGGTGTGTTCGTGGAGGAGGGCAAGACGATGAGCCTGGATGGCAAAATGATGGTGGTGGTCTTTGACGGCGAGGTGCGGGTTGGTAGGGAAACAAGGGCACTGTACGCGGGTGACATCGTGTACGATGATTTTGTAGCAGTGAGCGAGGTGGAGGGGTACGTCCTGCCACGTGAGTGACACGCACCCGGCAACCACCAACGGAGTGTCCGCCCAAGTTTTTATAAAGTTAACATTAGTACACCGGCTGCGACTCGCTTGTCCGTTTTTATAGGAAAGTCTTGTTGGGCACGTTTTTATTGCCTTATCCCTCCTCAAATCGTTCGAGCGACTCTCCGATATTCCTGGGCCTCTGTCCCGCAATACGCTTTGCACCGCAACATTTCTACGACGGCATTGCCGATCAATTCTTCAGATAGCGTGTTAAACGTAAGTTGCTGCACTCCCTGCTTACCATGGCTTGTTCGTAGAGACTGGCCATGGATCGTTGATCAGCAATCATGATTGGCCTCCACGAATCAAAAAATGTACTGGTTGATGTAGCGTTGGATGTATTAGCAATGAAAAGGTGCGTTTTCAATAAAAGTCGAATTAGTTTATAACCTTCTTTGCGGTGAGTCGTACCGCAACATTTTTACAGAATTTGATCGTTCCGTGGACAAAGGATGAGTGAGATACAGCGGTTTGCCCTTTCTGTGCTAGGAAAGAATGCAAAACTGGGGTTGCATCAAAACCATGGTGTTGCGTTGAAAATGCTTCGTAGCATTGCTTGGAAGACTACGTCTTGATTACAGGCATTGCTTTCATCTCAGCACACCGCAGAGCAAGCGATGCCCTTCTCACCTTTTTTTTATTTCCCTTCTATTCCTCTGTTACGTACGCCCCCCTTCTTCTTCCTTATCTTTCCCCTAGCCCTAACCTCTTTCTCCAAGCTCACCCATTTATATTTCTCCTACCCCTCAGCCCCAATGAACGATCCCCTTGATCATCTATCCAACCTCGAAAAGGCCTACGATCCCTCCTCACCCCTCTACAAGTTCACGCACACCTTTCACAACCTGTCAGACCCCTCGGGCACGACCTATCCCATTGAACTGAAAGGCTACGACGATCTAATAATGCGCAACAAGCATCAGAAAGCGGTCATACAGAAGATGAACGGTGCTCTACTGGCCATGTCACAGCGTATCGATAGTTTGACTGGTAAATCGATGATCATCAATCAGAAGATGGGTGTGCTGGTCAAGATGATAAGAACGATGAGGGGATTTGGGATTGAAGGAAAACTGGTGTTTGGACGGATGGGAGGCGAGAGAATGGAGTGTGGAGAGGATGGAGTGAGGTGTTTGAGGATGATGAGAAGGGTTTTGTGCAATTTGAGCGAGAGCGTGAAGAAGGAGATCGGTAAATAGGAGGGTGCGAAAGGAATGGGGTGATGGTACGTGTAGAATTGTGATGGAGAAGGGGTGTGAGCTGCTGATGATGAGCATTTGAGGGTAGAACACGCGTGTTGGAGAACGAGGTGTGTTTACGGACTGATAAAGGAAAAGTAGTGGAGCCTTATAAATTAAGGTGTGGTGCAAGAGCAGTAGAAATGCGATATACTATTTATCGGTAATGTGCAAGGAAATTAACAGAAATTAAAAGCGTTTGGTAGCTTAAACAGGACATATAGGCGAAAAGATAGCGAAAAGCACATCTTTTAACTCTTAACAGTGCAGAATGAGTGCTTATGTTATGTTTAGATCATTCATTATGAACAGCTTAGCACCTCCAAACTGCCACACATCCCTTTTATCGCTAGGTATTCTTTGTTTACCGGGTATTTGCTCACGAATTGTCATCTTCTCGTGTTTGAGGAGTTTTTGCGCGCATAGCTGTGATGTGTTCCGTTGTGGCACATGTACATAGCCCTGTCAAGCAATTGCGTTATTATCCGACCGCTCCAAACGCCGTCAACAACCCCATGCCACCAAACAACAAATTTTATTCACAACCACTTTATTTGTCACTATTCATCATCCGCTGTCACCGTGCTTATGCTAAAATTGATGCTTTTCTATGTTTTTTGACTATCGCCTCACACAAAACTCTCTTGGTGCGCCAAACCTTTACATTTTCAATAAAATATTCTTTTTAGGTGACATCATAGCGTCCAAATGGCACTACCATTGCTTACGAGCATCGAATGGCGCAAATATTCCAGTGCTTCTGCCTGGCATAGGAAATGTACTGTGCACAAAGCGGTGACCATTCTCTTTGCATTACCTACTGGCACTGCCAACATAGAAGCGTTGTTTGGATGAGTTTGAATGGCATACTCTGTTCAAGATCGTACAACGTGCTCAACTATAGGACTGGGAGGACGAGAAGAACAAAGTTTGGCCTATCACCACCATACCTTGCCACACAAACGAGGTGGTATGTTCACTAAGCATTAAATGCAACCACGCTGCGATATGGCGAGAAGAACAAACGTATTTGGTAAAAAAATGCATCTGAAGAATCAAAAACGTGAACGAACCGCCAGAGGCAAGAAAATCAAAAATATTAATTTAATGTAAGCAGTACGAAACTTACGGGGGTGCAACGCGGTGCGGAGGTAATAAGCAAATCCAGTTTTGAACAGCACACAGCAAGCGGTGATCACAGTTCCGTGTTAATGTCTTGTATCGTATCAAACTTAAGCAACTTATCCACAATATCTACGTGGCACAGCACCATCCTTCGGCAGCACATCCTTTTGATATTAAGCTTGTTCATCGCTTCACATTCCGTGTATTCAGATTTGAGCAGCTCGATGTACTTCTCGTACAGAGATGATATTTCCTTGTTGCAGGTGAAACAGCGAACCGGAATTAACATGGGGTTAGAGAAAATGCAGAACAAAAAAGTTGTGCAGTGCGTGTCGGTGAGTTAGCCGATCTATGCAAAAATACGCCGTGAAAAATGGTGATTTTAGCAGGATGAACGTGAACACGGTATCATGGCCGGAAGTATTTCGATTGGTGCAGGGCTGTACGGTGTAATGCCGTACGACTCACTGCAGGTCGCACCTCAAAACTATCAACCGTTCACGACTGGTAATGTAGCACCACTTTTAGGAACTTTTGGCAGTGCTGGTTGGGCATACCGGTGAATACACAAGTTCATTGGGCGTGCTCCTTTGATTTTTCCTTTGAAACGATTTTATACCACTGAAACGATCAATCACAATCAACTACGGCTCACCTTTTCATTTTATGAGAAGTACTCGCTTTCTGCTGTATTTTTTACTTTGATTCTCTGATGTGTGATTTATGTGTTTTGTTAATCAGATTTGGTGAGACTTACACGACCTTCCCATGTTATGTAGAGCGGATGCATTTGCCCAAGGATCAGGAAGCACCATTTCGTAGTGAAGGGTACTGAATAGCGGCGTAGACCAGGAACATTAAATCTCGAATACATCGTGAGCTGCCCTCGACAAGGATCGAACAGTAACCACCGGTTTTATGTGAAAACGGTACGGAAATAAACGAACGTATTTAGTGAAAGAAACGGCACCTACGCTCCTTCAGAAAGACCCGTGAGTTTTCCCACAATTTCAACACAAGGTTAAATAAAACACCCCAAATCACCAGGAAGAACGCTTGATGAAATAGAAATGCGCAGGCGGTGTTATAGCACCATTTAATGTACTGTTATTGCATTTTAAGCCTCTCATATTGATATATAGAGGTGATTACACCTATATAAATTACATCTGCCCGCTACCAACCGTCAAGCAATAAATTTGTTACCGTTAATCTTAGAACTGTACCTTCATTCTGAATTAATCTCTACAGAAATATCAGCGTGTCGATGTAAACACGTAGGTGAGATACCATGACAAAGATATTTGCTCAGGATAAGTAACAGGTACTATCATCAGCACTCTTCTTGGATCAAGGTTAACAAGTTGTACGGTAGTCTCTCATTTTGAAATTCCGTTGATAAAAATCGTGGGTAGAACTTCTACCACCTGTGATACGATTTATAGGATAGATTCGACTGGTGGTGCACACAATCAAACATTATTTGAATATTTTTGCGATGTTGGATGCACACACCACGAATTCATATCTATAAAAAGATAACTCGGAAGTTGCTTGGTCAGCTTTTAAAAATAAATTATTTGACCCTGGATGGAAAGTAAAAATTTTAGTTTTGTATATTTGCTCAAAATAAAGAGCCTAAAGTTGTTGTGTAGTTTATTATTTCAGAGAAGTATCGAGCTACCATTTGCCGACAACACTAAAATCATATGATCGCCGAACGGGAATTGATTCCTAAACCCCTATCAAAAGATCCCAAACAAAGGAGAAAATATAATATCACATACGAAATGAGGAAAACATTATTTATTGAATGTTACTCCTTTCCTCCATTTCTTAAACGAAAATAGTGCTGCAAGTACGAAATAAAACCGATAGCGCATGCATTTCGTTGCGCATGTAATGTTGATTGTTGGTCTGTGTCTAGCAGCTGATAACAAGTCAAGTACAGAGACAGAGGAAGTGCTGACTAGGAAAGCAAAGCAGGAAGAGCTGGTTGAAGTTTATAAAACACGTATTAGACACGCCAAAGTGATCGCAAATCAAATCGATGATCTTCTTTGGAGAAG